CTGGCCGCAGCCCGGAGCGCCGGCGTCTCGCGCCCCCCGGGACGGAGGTGTGGCCCTGCCTTCCGTGGGACCGCTGGGGCGCGTGGTTTTCACCAGCTGCAGAACAGCGACGGTTTGCACCGCAGCGGGCCCTTCCGAACGTGGCTTGTATTTGGCGTCGTCTCCTTAGGGTGGGAGCGAGGGGGCCCAGGCCGCGACTTGGCCCTGGAGGACCCAGCCTGGCGGTGGGAGGGGGCGCGGGGGAGGCGCGGAGGGGGCACCCCCCCAGGCGGCGCTGCTGCCCTAGGGCCGCCTTCCTAGGCTGCCCTCCGAGCGAGCCACCTGTTGTTTTCAAAGCCCCTTTAAAACGAGGTGCACAGAGTGAGGCCAGCGGAGCTGGACCTCCCGCAGCCCGAGGGCCCAGACAGCACGTGACTGGCAGGCCTGGTGCTCACCACCTCCTGGTTAACTCCTTCTGGACCTCCCTGGGGCCACATGCTGGGAGGGGCTGACCTTCACTGTCGGCGGAGGGTAGGAGGCCCTGCCTTGCCGGCCCACGGAGAATGCACGGGCTGCCTGGGGGGCCCCGGCGGTGCACCAGCGAGGGGAAGCCCCCAGCCTGCCCTTCACCCCTTACAGGCTGCTGTGTGTGCGGTACCGGCCGTGCGGCAGGTGGCCTGGCTTCAGTGCCGGCTGTCTCAGCTCCCAGCAGCCTCTTCCCCGCCTCCTTTGCTGGGTTCACCCCTCTGCACCCAGACCTTTCGCCTGTGGAAACCTGTTCCTCTGCCTGGGCCGGAGAACTTCTCGGCCCGGAGAGCCAGCCCACGAGTTATTTCGGGCTTTGGGGGTAGGAGAGCTGGACACGAACACTGGCGGCCCGCACCTCCCTGCCTTCCAGTTGCGGAAAGGGGAGTGTTTGATTACTCTGCTGATCGATCCGTCCAGTGCACGATCAGTCATGACTGGTGACTCATGTGATAAATAAGTGGACACGTGGTCAAGATTTTATTTGTGGTGAAAAGGAAGCCAGGCACCAGGGCACAGCAGTTGACACGCACACCGGTGATCCCCAAAGCTAGACTCCTGACTTTGTTGGGGGAGGGGCTGCTACAGACAGAAAGGTGGCCTTTATTCAGGAGGGGGTGGGGGTAGCTGCAGGGGCCCCTTCCTGGGGGCTGCATGCAGTGGAGGGGGGGTGTGGGCGGGGTAGGGGTGGGGCTCGCTGGCATGGAACGTGAGAATTTATAAGCAAGGAGCAGGTGGGGTTCAGTGGGTGGGGAATCACCAGGAGGCAGCATTCTGGAGGGAAGGGTGTCCTCGGAACTGACCACTGACCAGATGGGATCCTTACAGCAGATAAGCCAGGCTCATCAGCCATCTTGGGGTTGTCTGGGTGGGAGTGAGGAATTCCAGCAGATATAGGGGTGGGGGACGCAGGAATCTTGCTAAAACTGGGCAATGCAGAGGTGAACTTGGCAGCCCAAGAGCCAGGCCTCCATGCAGACAGCGTGTTCAGAAGAGCTTGGCTAGGGTCTGGGCCCGGGGTGCTGGTGTGGGAACCCTGAGGTGGCCCGGAAGGGGGGCCCTTTGCTCCTTCAGGCTGTGAGGCACATAACCTAGATGCTGGGGTGCAGCTCCCCACTGCGGAATCACTCACTGTGCCCTTTGGAGTGTCTACCACAGAGCAGGTTTTGACCAAGAAGAGGATGTTTTTGACTCCCAGAGGCCTTGTCAGAGGAGACCAGTGTCAGAGTGCAGGGTGTCTGGGCTGGTTTCTCAGACCCACCTGCCATGACCCAGAAAGGCCCTCGGACACACCAGGGGCCCCAGACACCTCAGACCCACGGCTCCCTCCTGCCAGGGAGACCCCAAGCCTTATCCTTCACAGTGCCATCCTGCCAGGGGCATGAAGATGTCCTCGACACTGGTTAGTGGAGTGTCGAGGTCTGTCCCAGCCTCACCAGGGCCCACGGGGACACAGTTATGACCTCAGAGTTGCCTGCCCCGCCCGGGACCTCGTGGACCTCGCCCTGCCACCGCACCTTTCTTCAGGCAGTTACCTGGCAGATGGTGCAGGAGCAGCTGCCTGGCTGTACACACGGGCTCATTTTTCCTTCCAGCCAGCGAGGTCATCTGCCTCTGCCTCTCTCCAGTGGGTAGGACAGATTCAGAGTGGTGGCAATGGGAGGCAGAGAAGGATGCAGGTGACACCGGCATGGCAGGAGCCAGGGTCTCTGTGTCCCCCCCGGCCAGCCCCAGCCCAGTTCCCAGCTCGGGCATGGAGCCCAGCAGAGGTCCAGCAGCTGGCCGGTGGCTCCGTCCGCCCCCAGTGCAGTGGAGCTTCTGAAAGCAAAACCAGGAAAGAGATTTTCTTGGCTCAGTGGCTACTTCTTAATCTCTCCCTACAATGTAGTCACTTTATTTCTAATTATGGATGTTTAGAATCTTCTGGAGAGTATGGTAAACACACTTAACAGCCACCCACATTCAGATGACCTGATTTATTTATTTATTGGTAAAAGTATTTATCTATGCATACAGAGCTGGGGTACAGGCCAGAGGTGCAGGGGTGGTGAGAGGATCCAGCAGAGACAGAG